TTGCGTTACTCTCTCTCTCTGACTTTTTACACATTGTAACGAGCCTTTGTCCCTGCTATAACCGGTTGGGCTGCGATGAGGCCCTGTTATTGCCAATAACTTTTAAAAGAGACAAAAGAGTAGGAAAAAACGGGGATTTAAAAAATCCCTGTTATTACCGGATCCCTGTTATTACCGGGCCTGTTATATATGGTTTCCACTGTATATAGATATGTGCACATAACTCTATGTTTTACAAACACACATGTCCTTTAATTTTTAAAATGTGATATCTTTATGAATTTTAGAAAATGGAAATGCGCAGCATAATGCAATTTATTATCATCATTATGAATTATGTCAACTTCGCTTATTCACATTTTTTACATATATAAACAGGAATCATCCTGGATTCAGAATTTTCCTACTGACGGACAGAAACAAAAAACCACTAAAAAAGACAACCCAAACTGTATCTTTGATGATTTCTTTAACTAATGGGAAGTACATAAGTCATTTTGCTATCTTTATGGTGCTTTCACTGAAAACCAGAACTAGCTATCACAAAAGAGCACCCGGTACCCAATAGCAAACAATAACAAGACACAATTTTACACGAATTATGTGAGTGGGCCACTTTTCAAGGAACTCTTTTCCTTTCTTTGCTTCCTGATATTTCCTAGCATTCGATTGAATAGACTGCTTTGACCATGAGATATCAGGGAGCAAAGAAAGAATATCAATATAACTTACTCTCAAAAAAAGGTCAAGAGATACCTGAAAAATGGTCTACTTACATAATTACCAATTGTTCACAAAAATCTCATTCCCCCCCCTGACACTACCACCACCAATAGTTCATATCTTAGTTCACTGGCTCAGGACCCCTTACATCTTTTAAAAAGTTTTAGTAAGAGTTTTATGGCACTTGCAACACAATAAGGTCATATAAGTGTCAGAGAGAATAGATGGGTAACAAAAGAATAACATACACAAAAAAGGAGAACATGATAAGGATGATAGATGTTTGATAGGAAAGAAGGAGCAAACCATACCAGAGCACCTGCCAACCACCCACCCTTACATCTTTGCCTTTCATAACCAACCAAATAAGCAAGAAGACACTTTATGAAAATCAAAGGAAAATATAATGTAGAAAAAGAAAACAACTCCCACAACTTTTAGTTTTACTAAGAAATATCTACAATGCTGATACAATAAAACTTAATTTTATCGCAACATCCCCTTTCATATTCGTTAAATATACTCCTCCTTGTTCTGTTCACGATGATAAACATACTCTCTGCACACATCAATCTTTTGCGATTTAGCTCTTGGCATTACCTGAAGGCATTCACTTCATCAAGAAACTGCTTCTGTTCAACTTTGGTAGCATCATCCTTTAGCATCTTCACAACTACTCGACTTTTAAGGGTTCCACCTGATATTCTCAGGGCTTCTGACTCAATTGCCTGCGAGACATACAATTTACATTAGTAAGATATTACTGAAAACTCAACAAACATCAAATGAACAGCATCTAATGAGAATCAAATGTCAGGAATTCAAGCTACAATTTAAAATCAATAACAGCTGTACTTGTAGCATTGATAATTGTAATTAAACAAAAGGCATACAACACCAGACAAAACCATTAACACATCCTCAACGATAGCTGTCTTGCAATACATGTTAGCTAGAGACTGATGAGAATGGAATTTTAACTCAGGGTAAAAGCTAATATACAGCTGCTTTATCATGATCCTGCGGGAGCCGGGTTTATGTTCCCCGATCAGCCTATTTCGGCACCTCGCCTTCCATCTGGTCCCAAGTCAGTTCAGCCTTGGCTCGGCGCACGCGAGCCGAGCATCATCCGCATGATGACGAGGTGCCCTATTCCCGCAGCTCATGTGAGCACGTGTCAGCCTGCTTGAGTTTGTGTGCCTTTGTGGTCTAGGCCTACTTCTAGAACCGCCTGCATTGGCTCGTAACCGAGGCATACGTATCTCAATCAAAACACGCCAAGTTGGTAGTTCCAGATGTTTGTCCAAAGAAATTAGAACAAACTGACTAACTTAGATATGAGATTCTCGAAAGGATAGCCAGGAAACAAGACTTCCATTTTTCTACACAAAGTCTTTCAAATGTGCGTGATTTTATATAAAATTATATTTACTTGATATAAATAAGCTTAGTTGATAGTTTTGAATACCATTATGCGGGTAAAAAGAACAATTTGAGAGCAAAACATTCGGAAATAGACCTATATTACTCCCTTTCGAACCCCAGATCATTTGTAACAACAAGAGCGTCTAAAAAGGTTATTCGAAAGGGTGTAACTACTCGTAACGTCTTAGTGGCTTATCATCATCATTGCCTTTCTCACCCTGGGGCAGGATATAGGCCACGAACAAACACTCTCAACCTTTCCCTATCCTGGGCTAGTCGCTTGATGTCACTCCACCACTTCCCACTTTTCTGTACATCCATTTCCGTGACTCTTCTCCAGGTTCCACGAGGTCTTCCCCTTGATCTTTTACCCTGTGGGTTCTAATCTAACACTTTTCTTGTTATGCAGCTGCTTGACTTCCTGAGAGTGTGTCCAATCCATTGCCAACGTCTTCTTCCCACCTCATCTCTGACCGGGCTCTGTCTGGTTCTTCTTAATACTTCCTCGTTGGTGATCCTGTCTGTCCATTTGATCCTCAGCAGCCTCCTCAGACACTTGTTCAAGAAAACCTGGATCCTCTTTATGCACATATGGGATGCGTTCCACGTCTCACATCCATACAACAAGACTGACTTCACATTTGAGTTGAAAATTCTAAGCTTTCTTCGTAATGAGATATCCCTGGTCCTCCAAATCCTGCTCAAAGAAATAAATGCAGCCTGTGCCTTTCCAATGCGGGACTTTATTTCAGCGCCTGTTCCTCCCTCTCTGTCGATTATACTCCCAAGATAGCAGAAGGATTCAACGTCTTCTAATGCATTTCCTTGTACTGTGACCTGCTCCTTTCGTCATGCATCTATCCTTAGGACTTTCGACTTTCCGGGGTGGATCCTCAATCCAACAGACTCGGATAGGCTGTTTAAAATTGTCGTCTTTGCTTGCATTTGTTCCTGAGAGTGTGACAGAAGCGCCAAGTCATCTCCAAAGTCCAGATCGTCCAACTGTGTCCATGGTGTCCACTGTATGCCGTTTCTGTGTCCTCTGGTGGTTTCCTTCATCAGCCAGTCAACTGCCAATATGAAGAGGAACGGTGATAATAAACATCCCTGTCTCACACCAGTCTTCATGTCAAAGTTGTCAGTGAGCTGGTCATCATGTACAACCTTGCAACTTGTCTCTTCGTACATGCTCTTAATGAGGTTCACCAACTTCTGTGGGATTTCGTGGTGTCTCAGTATCTTCCATAGTGTTGCTTGGTCTACACTGTCAAAAGCCTTCTCATAGTCAAGGAAGTTGACGATCAGCTGGGAGTTCCACTCCAGGGACTGTTCCACAATGATCCTGAGTGTGGCAATCTGGTCGGTGGTTGAGCGATTTTTCCGGAAACCAGCCTGTTCATCCCGTAGTCTTGGATCCGTTGCTTTCTTGATTCTCTCCAGAACGATTCTGTTGAAGACCTTACCTGGTATTGAGAGAAGAGTGATCCCTCTGTAGTTGCTGCAGTTGCTGAGATCCCCCTTTTTCCAATCCTTTGGGAACTTGCTCTCATTCCAGATCCTGGTAAACAGTGGGAGGAGGATGTCTGCCGTCACATTGGCATCTGCTTTTAGGGCTTCAGGTGGAATCTGGTCAGGACCGGCCGCTTTACCTTTGTTCAGCTTCTTAATGGCATCCAGAATCTCTTGTTTTGAAGAAGCATCACAGCAGATTGGTAACTCATTTCTTGCTGGCAGGATGTTTGGTGGGTTACTCGGTGGTGGTCTGTTCAGGAGACTGTTGAAATGCTCTACCCATAGTTTGGACTGAGCTTCCTTTCCAAAAATGGTTTTCCCCTCTTAGTCCTTTACTTGTACTTCAGGTTTCCCCTATTTTCAAAAAAGTGTCCTTGTGGTCTGGTAAAGGATTCGCATGTGCCCTCCTATCGCTGCTTCCTCGGCCTTCTCTGCTGGCCTGTTCATGAATTCCTCCTTGTCTTTTCTTAGTGATTTCTTGACATCTTTAGCTGTTGTCCTGTACTTCTCCAATGCATCCGCTCTTGATCCTCTTGTTCTACTTGCATTCGCTTCTGCCTTCAGCTGTCTTCTTATCCTAATTAAATCCAATGAGTGTTGGCTAATCCATTCCTTGTGCTCCCATTTCTTCACACCGAGTACTTCTTGACATGTCGATGTAAAGACTTCTTTAACCTTGGTCCAGTGTGTATCCACTTCCATGTCTTCCTCACCGAGATCCGCCAAGGGTTGAAATCTGTTCTTCAACTGTAGTTGAAACTCCTGTTTCTTGTGTCCATCTAAAAGACTTACTTGAAACTTCATTCTTTTGATTCCTGTTCTGGTTCCATGCTTTTTGAGACGAAGCTTGAGTTTTGCTAACAGCAGATGATGATCCGATCCAACGTCTGCCCCTCTCTGTACTTTGACATCTTCCAGTGAACGCCTGAACCTACGAGAGATACAAAAATGATCAATCTGGTTCTCCGTCACTCCATCCGGTGATACCCAAGTAGCCTTGTGGATCCTCTTATGGGGAAAAACAGAGCCTCCGATGGCAAGACTGTTGAAAGCACAGAGATTTGCAAATCGCTCACCGTTCTCATTCATTTGTCCCAGGCCATGTTGTCCCATGATTCCCTCGTAAACTACGTTGTCCTGACCAATCTTGGCATTAGCATCTCCCATTATGATGTTGACATCTTTCCTTGGCAGTTTGTCGATGACCCCCTGGAGCTGGCTGTAAAAAGCATCCTTGTCGTCATCCGAAGCATCGTTTGTTGGGGCGTAGATCTGTACTATGTTCATGTTGATGCTTACTTCTGGTAGTGAAAGAAGCCATGATGATCCTCTCCCCGTGTGGTTCCCATCCTCTAAGTGACTTCTGCGCATACTTACTCAAAAGCGGCTTATGAGAGGGGGTTATTCATTTGTTTTTTAACTCTTTTTAAATAGAAAGCTATAAAAGAGAGAGTGTTATTTTTATCATCGATTAACACACCACCACGGTATTCAAGGCGAAATCACAAGTTTCCAGTGCCGCCCCCTGTACACCAACAGTACACGGTAAGTGACACCAGCGGCCCGCGGGAACATCCGACGTAATAGGTTACTGATAAGATTCGTATCTCATAACAGATGCAGGACAAGAGTTAAAGAGCATGCTGTAACACTGTTTTACCTTTCCAAACCATCCTGACCCAATTTCATCTAGAAATAAAAGGTCTTCTCGAGGAAATGATCTTTGGATACCTAAGGAGAAGAAATAGAAATTAATGGTATTATAATTGTGCACACAGTAACTTATATATGAAAAGAAAAACTTCAGTAAAATAGGGAATTAGAAAAAAGAAAATATAAGATATACCCCCCCCCCCCCCCCACACACACACACACAAAAGGGCAAACCCCTTGAAAAAGTTATGTGATCTTTATCGAACCATCACCAGAAAAACAGCATAGCATTTAATAAATAATAACAATACTCTTCACATTCTCATTGTTTATTAGATAAAACAATCAAACATACCTTTCAGTTGAAACATAAAGAAAGCACAGTTGAGCTCTACATTACGCAACCTCAGTGCTTTCTTCCTATCTCCATTTTTTTTACATTAAAAATGTTACTTTTTCTTAAGCTCACTCTTTGCTATGAACTGTTTTCACTGTCATTAACCCTTTCAGCCCCATGCGCGCATCTTTTCAGCAGCGTTTGTACCTCCCACCGTCCCAAGAGCATATTCTCAAGTTTCGAGGGGGTACTGAATTTGCACATATTTCTTCAAAATTACCTCACCTAATTAAACTTTAATTTTCATGTTAGTTCATTTACTGTTAAACATTGTTATATGCTATTATCTGAACCTCATTACAAAGATACAAATCACTTTTTAGAAAGCATGTCTCTTTTTTCTGAAATACTGCTGTATTGGCTGGGACTGGGGTCAAGGAGTGCACAAAAATGGCTGGGGCTGGAAGGGTTAAAAACGGAGATGGGACAAGAAAGCACATGTCGCGATTAGCTGCAGCCCACTTTCAAGTAAGAATAAAGAAGAAATTGGCTCTTTGAGTTTGATATTGAAAAGTAATGCTAACAAATATAATTTCCAAAATTTAACTCCACTCACTGATAAGGGAGAGGGTTGCCTCCTGTTTGCCCCTTTCCAAGCACATCATTCTGGGTCGAAGAGATGGCATGTCAGTGGCTTTGGTGATGATATCTGGGAGGGGTTCGATGACAACTGCCTCACGGGATGCCTCCACATCAGACATGTCCACAGTGAAAGCTGCATTGTGCTGTGCCAATTGGTTATCTCTGCTTGGACTGGCATTATTAAAGTTCTGTAACAGAATCAATTGCAATAAATCTATTTTCATTTCATCATTCTGTAAAAATAATAATAATAGTTCACCGATGATAAGTTTACTCCCTTTGCCCTACTTTAATCATTAAATTGTATTATTGTATCAATGGCATATTAATTTTTTTTTTTACATTGTGAGCTAATAAATAACAGCAGAGACAAAAATGTAGAGACGCATCACTCCTCGATTCAGGCGAGATTGGGGTCAGGCATCCAGTGAAAGTTTCACGCAGCACAGCTATAGTCTGTTCCTCACAACTGATGAATCACCGTATTGTTTTCATAGAAAATTAGGCAAGGGGGTTGGTCTGAATGGGTTTTTAACACCATTTCTCTTTCTTTACCGTCACATCATACCCACATCCACATATGAAAGACGGAGTCAGAACATTCCAAGAGTAATTCTAGTCAAGATTTTGAAGAAAAATTCAAAACATACTGTACTGCATGTTTCCTCTCGGTTGGTATAATTATTGGCCTTTCTTGGTCACATCCTCTCTCCTTATTCCTGGCCCGCATCTCATTGTATTAGTGCCCAAAATACTCCAAATCTTTTCTATTCTTCTACTTTTACTCCCTTTTTTTCTCGTAATTTTCTTCTTGTTCTTGCTTTGTTCTTTTTCTTCTTCATTTTCTTCTTCTTCTTGCTTTGTTCTTTTTCTTCTTCATTTTCTTCTTCTTCTTGCTTCGTTCTTTTTCTTCTTCTTCTTCTTCATTTTCTTCTTCTTCTTCTTCATTTTCTTCTTCTTCTTCCTTCCCTGGAGCATAAATTTGATGAATTGATTAATTATGCGCGCATTTATTGATCAACTTCACCACTTACCACTACTTCCGACATATTAACTGAGATGAGTCCTTGCTCTTCCCTCTGTCCCCGGTATTAACTACAGGAAATAATAAGGGGAAGTGACTTTAAGAGGAACAGACCATGAAACGTACAGCGTGAAACCGTTTCGCGGCACTATGTCACTTATCTCGTGTAAAAAACATGGTGCGAAGAGGGGCCAGCTGACGAGTGAAATATCTCTCTCTAGTCATCTTCGATAATAGTCAAAGCTATATGGACTAAACTGCTTACCAAGCAGGTCCCCTTCATTTAAAAAACTTTCATTGACTCTTTAAATGCACTGATGTTCAACAACAGTTTTGAGGTGTCTGAGAAGCCCATTCACAAAAATAACTATTCTTAGTCAGGGCAGCAGAAATTCTAAGCCCACTCTGTCTCTCACCTGCAGTCCCATAAATATAAATTCCAAGCTTCTCTAATTAGACTTTTAAAAATGGAAAGATGTATCGTAGTTCGAGTGTGAGCACTAAAGCAGTCATCTCTGCTGCCTCAACAGGTAGCCATAAATACAGACCAATGCAACAAAGACATCAGAGAGGAGGAGAAGATCATAAATAATGTTTAAATCTGTGCTCATATTATCCCAGAAAAATGAAATCACATACTGAAAAACCAGGTTTCTTTCGCTGGAGACAGTTCAGGCAGCCTAGAACGATTACCACCATACATAGGAGAAGGGCTACGCTTGCAATGACGACCAACACCATCCTGAATCATCTGTTTTATGCTGAAAGAGAAATACAGAGGGATTTAATTTTCAAAAGGATACAATCTGGCTCTTGTCTGTGAACAGTATTTGACAACATTGCATTGGAAAATCATAAATATAACTGCTCAGATGTGCTGCTCCTAGCCAGGAACGGTCAGGTCAGGGGTTACCAAAGTTAACAATACTGACCTGATGGTGTAAAAGTAGAAGTAAGGCATAAGATACAGAATATAAAACAAAAAGTTACAATGCATGCCTCATGACTACCTTCAGAAGAGACAACATGGAGGCTACTTCCCTGAGATATGTAACCGTTCACAGCTTGCTGGCGACCAAATGGCACAGTGACAGGAGCATAGTTTATACTGGCCAGACCTTGATATATGAGATGGTGAAGGATACCAATGCTATGCCCAGAACAAATATTGATCAGCTGATTTTAAAACTTGATTTTGGAAAACCTTTGCAAAAGTTCAAACCCGAGTCCGATTAAACAAAATTATATTCCGACTCAGACTCTGACTTCTTTCCACAACTTGGGGACTGAAGGTGAAGCTATTAACCATAGTAATGGTTAACGTAGTTAAAGCAAGTTTGAGTGAGATTAGCGGCCAGTTCTGGTCAACGCCAGAATCACTCTGCCCCCTAGACAGCACCAAAGATCTCCCTCGACTACATCTGCAATCAATCTTTTATTAGTTTTCAATTTTCTGCAGCAAAAACGTTAGTAAACCCCGAGGAACAAGGGACAAAAAAAACAAACCTACATGAATATGTACCCTGTTGATACTAGTGTACGGGCAAGTCCAAAACACACAATTGGAATGAAAAAGGGGCCGATTAGGCAGAGTGTAAATCAATGAATTTACGCAACTGAATATTACACCCAGATTTCACTATACAGTTGAACCTGTGTAAGACGGAATCGCAAGAGAGCTAGAAAAAAATTCCGTCTTAGACAGGGGAATTCAGGGCGAGATGGAAAGGGGGGGGTCAAAGGCCCAGCCGGCAGGATCAAGGGTCGCTTGTCAGATTGGCAAGCAGTTGTCAAAACTTCACACATCTCAATTGCTGTCCTGTCTGATAATGATATGCGTCAGTCTTACTTATAATCCAATTACCACCAGCGCTTGCCTTTCATAGGACCAGTGTTTGACCTATTAAAAACAGAAACGTTTGAACATCTCCTTTGCTTCCACCCTTAGCCACACCCACCAGTGTAACATGCAGTCAACCAATGCCACCCCTTGCTGCCATCAAATAACAACGATTTCAGGAACTCTTTTCTCAGCTGGCCGTTAGTGCTGGGCGGCTAAGTTCCCGATTATTGAAAGCTAGGAATCGTAGGAATTGACTCGGAGCCCAATTACTTACTTTCTAATGATGTGATATCTTCCGTTGGTTAACTGGCTGGTTCCCACATCTTCAGGATTTAGGATAACGTTGATTTCAGAACACTACCAAGCATCAATTTGTATTTTTCAAAAATAAATTCTAAATAAAAAAAGAAGAGGATTTTAATTTTGGTTTATGTAAAAAGGAGTCAAACTTTTCTTCCGTAGCATTAATCGTGGGAATCGGTCCTGGGATAGATTCTTGGCCCAGCTCTACTGGCCGCACGACCAGGGCGGCAGACACAGGTCAATCTAATTTCACACCTCTGGCTTCTGGCTACCCAGAAAGTTTCCGAAGTGGCTCGCTACTCAAGCACTTTCACGTGCACCCATGAGATTCCACACCCACACTAACCGGACCCTCAGCATCGCTCAGGGCTCACATAGATGGGGTAACATCTGCCCCCAAATTTCACCCCTACTCCCCTTCCCCGCCCAGCGGCATGGCCATAAGTTTAGAGCCGGCGGAACCGAAACGTGCTGATAACATCTCGGTCTGAACCAAACTTGCGAGTTTTGTTTCAACTCAGGGCTGAGCAGGCAAAGCATTTTCCGTCTTAAATAGGGGGAACCCTCGGAAGGGAGCAAATTTTTATTTCTGTTTCCGCGTTGGAGAGGTTTCAGTTTTATACAGGTAATCAGGGTTGGTGATTTTTTATATTTTTTAAATAAAAATTTAAAAAATCGATTTTTTAAATTTAAATCAGATTTTTTAAATTTTAAATCGGATTTTTTTATTTTAAAAAAAATGTCGACACAATTTGGGATTTTGGGAGGCTAAAAGTATGTTCTTTTAGTGCAGAATGCATTGTCTTTGTTTTAACTAATAATTAATTTAAGCAACTGCGAAAGAAAGCCTTAATCTGCTATTATCAGTGAATTATGGCTACAGACAAAAAATTAAGAAAATGTCAGTCTAAAAAGAAAGGGGGGAGGGGGTAATTATGCATAGATAAACTTGTATTTTATTACAGTGTGCGTGTGTGTGTGTGTGCGCGCTTTTGTTTGTCTAAAAAGAAAAAGAAAATGCTAATTTAAATTATGAAAAAAAAAGTAAATTGAATACTGTATTAATTTACTACTTACAGTGACAGGGGGGGAAAGCAGACTTTTAAGCATGATTATATTAGTCTACTAAACCTTATATACTGTTTTATAAAACCAAGGAAAGGAATTCTGAATATTTAAAGATGTAAAAACAGAATACATTTTTAAAAAGTGATTTAAATCACTGAGTTTTATTTTTAAAATCAAGTTGATTTAAATTTTAAAAATCAACTGATTTAAATCGACCTGATTTAAATCAACCCAACCCTGGTTTTCAATTATGAAAAGAAAGAAAATTGAATACTGTATTATTTTACAGTGAAAGGGTGGAAAGCAGACTTTTAAGCATGATTATAATTATATTAGTCTACTAAACCTTATTATATCTGTTAAATAAAACCAAGGAAAGGAATTCTGAATGTTTAAATATGTAAAAGCAGAATACATTTTTTAAAAAGTCATTTAAATCACAAAATCAAGTTGATTAAAATAAAAAAATCAACTGATTTAAATCAACTAAGCTCTGATTTCAATTATGAGAAAAAAAAAGTAAATTGAATACTGTATTATTTTACAGTGAAAGGGGGGAAAGCAGACTTTTAAGCATGATAATATTAGTGTACTAAACCTTATATCTGTTTTATGAAACCTAGGAAAGGAATTCTGAATGTTGAAATATTTAAAAACTGAATAAAAATAAATTTTTTTAAAAGTGATTTAAATCACTGATTTTTATTTAAAAAATCAAGTTGATTTAAATTTAAAAAATCAACTGATTTAAATCAACCCAACCTTGCAGGTAATTAAAGAGGAATATTTCAAGGGGGGAACGAGGAGATTCCGTTAAAACAGGTTTCCGCTAAGGCAAGTTCGACTGTATATATGTGGCAATTACCACACAATCTCTTTGTTCCTAAATATTTCCAGCATTTATGAAAATTTTTTCAATTATAAAGATAGAAATCGAAACGTAAGCTTTAATATCCAGTTACTAGAACTATTTAAACTGGCCCTCCCTGCACCATTAGTTTGAACAGAACAACCAACTTGAGTTGACTTGCCGGGGGCAAAGTTAAATATGTCGACTAATGAAACCGCCCGTAGCGATCACCCATTCTCAGCTTGCTGGAAGAAGCGATGTTGGGAAGAGCCACGGTGTAAGGGAAAACGATGAACTCTCAATTACGCAACAACGCATTAAGATATGACAAAAATGTATACGCCTACCAAGATGTTTCAATTGCTCTATCTCGCGTCTGGGCGAGACTTGGGCGGGACCTTGTGTTAGCGCCTGATGGCCCGTGTACGAGTGTAAACAAACGTTCCAGCGCTCTTGAATTGAAAAGGTGCAATTTTGTCTGCCGGCAGTTTGTGTGTGTGTGTGCGTGAGTATGACAGAGAGAGAGAGGAAGAGAGGAGGGCCAAGGGGGGGAGAACGAGGGAAAGAGAGAAAGAAAGAGAAAGGGGAGAGAGAGAGACAAACAGAAAGAGAGTGAGAGAGAGAGGGTGTTTGTTTTTATATAATAAAGAATAATTGATTTGCGTCATTTTCTCTCTGCGTTGGTTCCCAGGCTGACCCGGTGCAATACAGTCATTATAGTACATATTTTATTACCAGTCCCATCTTCCGAATCCCACCTTTTGTTTCCCATCTCTCACCTCTTGTTCCCCATGTACTGTATTTAATTTTCCATATCCCATATCCCTACTTTAACTCTGTAAGGACGCTTCGTTTTCCTTCATCTCATGGGATGGAACACTTGAAGCTGGCCAAAATATTAATAAATAGCCAGTGGCTATGCGTACGGCCCTCCCTTCCGTACGCATAGCCACAGTGCTATGCGTACTGCCCTCTAAAGTATAAATTTTGATTTATAGGGCCTTGATAATCGCTCAGCTGGACCACGTCACTTTATCAATTGATATCTTGGCCAAGACAAAGATTGTGTATAACAAGATAGTTCACACCTCTATTTCAGTCAATTAAACAAATGTCCTCAAAATTCAGTGGCGCCCTCTTCGAAAAAGTGCGGACTTTGCAATCAAAGTTACCCTACTTGTGTGAAAATAAATAATAAAAGTGAAACTAACAAACAGGGCTATTCCTATTCTTCTGCTCGAGAAACGAAAGAGAGCTTAGAAACAAAGACTGTAACGTCATCTGAACCAATGCGCGGACTTGCGCTGACACTTTTTTAGCCGAGAGAACTCTCTTGTTATGTACGATCTTTGGCCAAGAGGCGCCCTACGAGGTCAAGATAACTTGTAAAGTCACTGGTCACTATTTATAACTTTGACCTGTAATTTACTACGTCATTTTCCATATAAGGAATACTGAGATTTTCCATTGAAAAAAGGTAATCGTTTGCCCATTATACAGCTGCGCTCTTCCTAATCGAAGTAGGTCAGCCCTGCCCTGCGCGCTTCCCGGGTAACCCGACTCATGTCCTTTTAAAGGACCTGCGCGCTTTCAGGGTTTAAGTTTTTAGTTTTTACCCTTGTAGTGTCCGGTTTGATAGTTTATATGTGCCGCCTACAAAGCCTAGCTTATGATGTGAAGTGGAGGGCCGCACACATAGCCTAGTTACTATGTGTACGGGAGGGCCGTACGCATAGCCACTTCGTAATAAATATTCATTACTGTCGTCACTGACTAAAACAGACAGGAGACACTCCCCCTAAATGAAGCTTTAGTGCTGTGAACGTAGGTTCAATAGCGCCTGCACACTGCATTCAGGGCGCCGTGAACGTAGCCACTGGAAAAATTTATAGATTTAGTAATCCATTCTGTTTTTTCAGTTATCAGGATGAAAGATATAATTTCTTATCAAAAGTAAAAGTCAACAGCTTGAATTACTATTTCTGGCAATACTAGATCTACCCTCTAACTTATCCCTCTATCTATTCATAAGGCATATTGGGTCATAGGGAGGATTTCTTTTAACTTCACCTTCATTAAACTTAAACATGATACTTGGTAAGACTAGATCTAGGCTAGATATCTAGATCTAGAGTCTAGATCTACCACTACCAGTTTCTCATCAAGATCAAGATCCTAGACCTTTAGAATTTTTACTTTCACTCCAGCACACAGATACACTGCTTCCGGGGTCAAACTGCAGAACTGTTTGCTGCAGATCACAATAAATCCACTAAAACTGTGGCAAATCAATTATTTTCAAGAAAATTTCAAATCTAACTGTAAAATATCAAATTATGGATTAAAACAGGGGGACATGCCCCCCTGTAACCCCCAGATTTTCTTTTACCCCAGTGGAGCAGGTCCCCCTGGAACCCCCCGATTGGTCCAAAGCACGTCTTTTCTCAATTAAGAACAGATCAAATATTTTAAAAATGATTAAATTGCAACAGACAACAAAAATGAAGTTGATTCGTGTTCAGCGCATCAATATTATGTAGAAAATGGACAACTGGTAGCTGAGTGTGAGACGGGAGGGGAAAGTAAAAAAAATGGCCGGCACTATTTCTCTGAATGTTTGGGAAAATAAAGCTGGGCACTATTTCTCCTAACACTCTGAAATCACATCCTTTCCCGCAAATTTAGGATATTATATAGATCTATAATTATAGTATAGGCCTACCAAAGATTGTTCGTGTACAATGTGGTTCAATCGGTCCAAAAAATGTCCGCCGTAAATATTAAAAGAAAGAAAAGCTACAGTTCCAAACAGTTTTTCGCTACATGTACAGATATGACGTGTTGCCAATGAAGAGTGCTTCTCTTAAACTTAATGTGTTGTGTTCACTCGTGTGCTGTCTAGATCTAGATCTGCGGAGGGTTATTGATAACGACACATAGAACGAGCATCTGCGTTTGTCGCGGCCGCGACCAATCAACCGGGCTCGATTTTTTGGTCCCCGAATTGGGGAATAAAAGTCAAATAAAAAAAAGAAAGAAACCGAACCTCTTTACTTTTGAAAGAAAGTTCACCTTGCTTCACTTCGTCTCTTTCTCACTTGTTGTCACCACGTTGATTTGTTGAATACGTTACAGTTACTTTTATTTCTCCCTCTTTGTGGAGTTTTATTTTGTCAGTGTGTATTTTTTTCTTTCTTGTTATTGTTCTGATGTGTTGTTTTTCTATCAATTTTGTTGTTTTGTGTAACGTCATTTAATTTGATGTTCCTACCTTCATTAGATTCTAATTTATATATACATGTATATATTATTAGATTTAAATGTGTTTTATGTCAGAGCGTACGTTCCACCAAAACCGATTACATGTACTGACACTGACAGGCCCCTTAATAAATTATAATGTGTGTGATTTCATAATTTACATATAATATCCTGTACTTTGTTTAAAAATTACGCACATTTAGGGTTAAAACAGCCAATCTTCTTCGGACAGGTGGACTCATGCCTTGTTAATTTTTGTGTTTGTTTATGGGCTGTTCTAATTCTTATTTCATTCTGTTGTGAAACCTTTCTTTTTCACGTTTTTACACTCATGATCTAAAAATCTCTAGACTAGCTCTTGAAAACTGAAATAGATATGGACCTAAAAATTTGCTCCTGTGTGTGTATGCATGTGCGTGTGTGTCTGTGTGTGGTAAGTGTGTAAGTGTAAGTGGAGAGTGAGGAGCGTGTGTGTGTGCTTGTTTTTCGGGCTTTATTTCAGCCTCTATTCAGTAACAGTTCAAAGTATACAAAAATAGAAACACAGGATCCATTCACTCCAGGGCTCATGAGTCGTTCCTCTCTTTCAGTTTCACTTATTCATTCAATTCCCGTGTTCTCTCCCGCGGATCATCCCCGTCCACATGACTTTCCACACCCCACCCCCTCCCTCCAGGCACACACAAAGAAAATCTCACTCATTCCCTAGCACCCTGCGAACCATGGACAATAATATAGGCAAAACACTGCCTCAGCCGCATCCCTTTCGTTCGTGAGCTGGGGACCAGGCCGGGGGGGGGGGCGGTGTCGTCGTCTTGTAGTTGCTAACGCCTGTGGATACACTCGTAATTCTTCCTTTCACGTTTCACCTGCTCTGTCACTCGCACTGTCTCTCCATCCACAGCTCAGCTCGTTCTACGTTGTTTGTGTACATATGTGCATGATGGTGGTGGGTGTGAGGTAGGTGTTACTGAAGGTTGTCTGTTGGCGGGCTTGCCATGCGGTGTTCCTTCCCAGACAAGAGTCAGAGGCAGAATGAAAGTTGGCGCCGAACGCTCGCAATAAATAGGCAAAAAATCACGAGACCGGAAGCCAGAAACCGTTCGGAGAAATAAAGATCGGCACTATTTCTCCGAACCATACTAGATCTAGATAGATATCTAGATCTAGAATCTCTAGAATCTAGATCTAATCTTAGTCATTAGATCTAGACTCTAGTCTCTAGAATCTAGATTTAGTAATAGAGAGATAGATTGTTTATCTAGAATTTAGATCTAGTTTTCTAGATCTAGACTAGATATCTATATATTCTAGATCTAGATCTAATCTAGATCTAGATCTAGATATATACAATCTAAATCTACACCTAGAATCTACATCTATTATATCTAGATCCTAGCCCAACTTGATCCTGCGTTCATTAAAAAAACCAGAATCATAACCACAAATATCAAATCATAGAAAGGGTTCCTTTCACTTGGGTACCCGAAATAACTAAAGACCTACCCGGTAGGCTACCGGCAGTGGGGAGATTTCGCATTTGGCGGAAGAAGGAAGGTGTTTTGATTTCTTGTGCATTGATGTAACACACAGTCAGTTGACAGTCGTGTTGTTACTTTTTTTTTAGTACAGACTCAGACTACTAAAGTACACCCAAATACACCTGTTCAAATGCAGATACCATACGATGTAAAAGAGTACATGTCACGATCTATATTAAAACTGAATGATGATGCTTACATGAATGTTGTCGACAAATTGGTGTGCGAGGGTCTAAAAGGGGGAATGAAGGAGGCGTGTCAAATATCCTTCGCTTGATCCATCGCTTTCCATCGTCCCTCTTCTTATCGTCGTGAGGTCACAGGTCAAATGACCTAAAAGTGAAGCTCAATGCTTGTTTCGAACAAAAAGTACGAACTTGCTTTGTTGTATCGTTTGCTTATTTAGCTTGAGGATTCTTATATACAGCTAAGATTTATTAACTCAAATGATAATATATCGCCAGAACCCAAAATCACTTTTTCATTTTGCTCTCAGGTAAAAAAAAAAAAAGAGAAAAGTGTTGACAGCTGTTTTTGCTACCGCCACTTCGAATTCATAACAGGAAGTGGAATTGAAGTGGAAACGGAAAACTGATCTTGTCCAGATCTATGTTTTACCGAAACGCTATTGGAGTGTCGGCCCAAGATCAAGAAATTTTAAGTGTGAAAAGGGGGAGGTACAACTTTTGTGAACCATCGGCAGGTGCCCATCAGCGGCGTTAGCCTTTAAAGTATAGATACAGGTACTTAATGTCCTTCATAGACCTGTGAGTCCTGTGCGTGTTCATTAAAAAGCCCGAGAGAATGGAACCAACGTCAGTGACTTCGTCAGGAAACAATTTCAACATCAGTGGTGAGTAACAATTTTTGTGTAAACACCATTTTAGATCTAGATCTCTAGATCTAGATTATATCTAGATCTAGATCTATATTCGGTAAGATTGTACTTTACCGGACCACCAGTCGGAACTACTTTCGCTATGGCGCCCCTGGTCCAGTCCTGGTGCCTAGTGGTCCGCTATTCTTCGTTTCCGAGCTCCCCTACTCCTACTCACTCTCCTACTCAGTTTTCTACGTCCTCACTGTTCCACTGCCAGCAATCGACTGACGTCTCTTACCGGGTTTTTCAGTCATCACGACTGTGCCCTTTGACCCTCGACCCTGACACCTTGAGGCTAATTGGTCAATCTAATCACGTGGTCCACTATTCTTTTATTTGCTCGCAACTCTGCTGGCTTGGCCTAATCCTGGTCCGGCAAAGTACAATGGAGGGCTAGAGATGTGCACGAGAGCTCATTTGCATAATTGCAACCCCCTCGGCCCTGCTCGCGACTTGGCGAGTATCTACCCCGATTGTCCGCTCATGCTATTGTTTATATATATGTGTGTGTGTGTCTTTAAATTATTGTTGCCAGGGGGGCTAGCCCCCCTGAAACCCCCCCCTCCCCCCTCTGTTGTTACATTGATGTAAACACGACTGTCCGCTCATGTTATTGTTTCGCATTTTTGTGTATTTTCTTTATTGTAGTTTCCAGGGGGGCAAGCCCCCCTGAAACCCCCCTCCCAACTGTTGGTATGATACACGGTGGTCCACAAAAGTTAATTCCCCTGCCCACCCTCAACCATCACCTCTCGCTCACCTCGCCTCGCCAGTCTCCGCTGGCTTGCGCTGTGCGAGCGCGAAATCGCCTGCGGAACTACCTTTTGACCGCACGTAGAGTACTATGAGTGCGTAGTTAGGCTAGGCGCGCGTAGTAATCACGGGCCGAGACGGGTGGTCCGGTAAAGGGTGCTTTTTCGGTAGTTCCCACCCCCCTTATTTGAGCCTGACCTACATCTAGATCTAGATCTAGATCTAGATCTAGATCTAGATAGTCTATCTAGATTCTAGATTTATACTTTTGATTCGCGATGAGCTAAGATATCAAACCTAACAATAGCAAAACATTAGGTGATTTTGTAGTTTCGTTCGTTAAAGTCAAGCAGGGGGGTTTCAGGGGGGCGCTTGCCCCCTGACCTAAAAAAATATGAAGGTGGGGGGGTTCGGGGGGGCATGCCCCCCTGAATTTTATCCTAATTTGATGTTTTGCATCCCTGCTCTTTGTGTAGCCTAATTCAAATAGTATTTATTGGTCTTCAAGACTTCTGGATTTCTTCTCTGGATGTAAACAAATGGATCGTGGACTTTAACGAACGGAACTACAAGATCACCAAACTACATTAAATTGTGGTAAAATTCAGGGGGGCATGCCCGCCTGAAACCCCCCTTCCTATTTTTTTTAGGTCAGGGGGGCAAGCCCCCATGAAACCCCCCTACTCTTGGGGCCAAAATCCGTGAATAACAATTGCGGGTGGGAACTTGGGAACTACCGAATAAGCGCCCGGTAAAGTACAATCCATCCTGAGAGATGGAAAATCATGAATTCCTCCTAAGGTTGAGACAAAGACAAAGTCAGTCCGCTGGTCCGGTATTTTTCAATCTCACCTCTAGATCTAGATCTAGAAATCTAGATCTAGATCTAGATCTAGATCTAGAATCTAGATCTAGATCTATCTCTTGTCTCTAGTCTAGGCCTAGAGAAGGCCTCCTAAAGAAATTTTAGGGGAGGACTTTGGAGAAAAACAAGAGCTCCAAAATATTTACAAAATAGCATTATCGTGCATTCATTGTATACAAAATTTGCAATTAGTGCAAATAATAATTAGCTTCAGCACAGATTGGTAGGATTGACTTACCACAAATCCGATAGATTCTAGTCACAGTAAATCCAAAGCAGAAAGGGCTTTTTCAAACGATCGCCAACCTTACCTCTAAACCGGAAGTGATAAACGTACGTGGCCTTCCGCCTTCCACTCCACACAACCCCTCACAACAATCCACAACCGGGTCAGACAAAAAACTGACCCAACAAAAAGCGGTGCGATTTGAGCGAATCTAGATTATCTAAATCTAGATCTAAATCTAGATAAATCTAGATCTAGGGGAAAGGAAATGATTGATTTATTTTTTTTAGCTGGCATAGGCCTAGCTTGAAATTTACTCATGTCTGCACGCAAGTTGTTTTTAATTTTGTCAATTAAAAAAAACTACATTAATAAACCAAAGAAAAAGGGCGCGCGCGGCGAGAGAGAGAGAGAGAGAGAGAGAGAGAGAGAGAGAGAGAGAGAGAGAGAG